AGCGTGCAGTAGAACAGCTCAGATGTGAGAAGGACACAGCATAGATGGTTTTCTCAATGACTATTTCATTAGCTTCCCATTATCCAGGTACTTTAGAACTATGTTTAGGAGTAAGTTGTCCTTGGGGGTAGACAAAGTTGTACCACGTTTCCTATATAATCTGGGAGAATATTAATGGCCACAATCTAACCTTTTCAAGAAATACATCATGCAGTATCGGAGAGAAGTATACGTTCTTTCATGACCTTTGATTAAAAGTTGATATTGAATTTTAGAAAGACTCCTTGTATCCAAAAAATTGATAGAGTATCTGTTTCTTATTTTTAGTTTTAACGTGCTATGTTTAAAGCATGTTGACTTTATTATAGAATAATAAAATAAGAGTATTCCTAAAACAGTATGAAGCCAATGAAAATCATTTTATATGCAGTTTTCCTGTCATAACTGTAGTAACCATAATTTGTATAATTAAACACCTCAGCTCATAAATGTAATCCTATAAAAGCTGTGAAAATTCATAATTTGAGTTACCTATCACATCCTTCACTCATGCTCCTATGTCTAGAAGTTCCAACAACATACCTACATGCTGTTGTGCTACTTATATAGTTACAGTTAGCCCAATAACTTTGAAACTATGACTGTATTTCCCCAAAGATTAGTGTACTATATTGTGTCTCTGTTTATTTTAGACAACTTGGGATACGTGGATCCACAGGAGCAGTAGTCCTAGATAGCAAATTATTCTTTCAGATGAAATTTGTTTATTAATGGAAATAACTTTCCTAAGCTTGGTCACTGCTACTTTCATTTTTAATTACAAAAGTGCATAAATATAAATTGAACTGCTTAATTCATTATAAAAAATAGAAAACAGGTATTTGTGAATTGAGCAGTTTGTACTCTTCAGCAATGTTAAACGTCAAATAACAGACATAATTTTGTGCAGTTCCTAAATAGCAGTAGCGAAGTGTAACTGTAATGTGCCTAAGAACAAAGATGTGCTAACCGCTGACAATTCTAAAGGCAGTTAAGAGTTATTTCCTAGGTAGAAAATCCAGAAATATTAAGAAGCTAAGTGATTTCTTTGTGTGTACACTACCGATTAGCAATAAGTGGGTTAGTAGTATCCCTGTTGCTTGCCTCCTCAAGCCTGTGTGTGCTGCACAGGGCCGTGTCTCCTCCGATGAATCCTAGTACCGTATGTTTGATGATAAAGTATCAATTTTGCTTTGCCTGAGATGAAAATATTATAGAAATAGCAAATTGAAATTTTCTTAAGAGTGAACACCATATGAAAACACTAGGTAGACTTAAGAGAATCTATTAATAAAAACATTAAGAGAATTCTGTTTGATCTATTGCATGTGTTTTGTGTGTATTCAGTTTCTCCTCACTTTCCTAAAGGATTGGTGGAATATAACATTTCTAACAATAAAAGCTTAATGGAATCAGATTTGTGATTTCCTAGAAAATTAACGAGATATTTTGTCAATTTTATTCCAGACTTCATTTGTCAGAATATACAGTGTCCACTGACAAGCTAAAAGAATTTTTTGACAAATTAACTATGCCACAGGTGACAGATCAGGAAAATGTTAATTTAACAGCCCCTTTATGCCTCCCAGATTTATTGGAGGCTATTAAGGAAACTCCAAATGGTAAGGCCCCTGGCCCTGAATAGATTTTCCATTGAATTTTATACAGGATCTATTAATAAAGTTTGATGCTGCCTTTTTGAATATAGGTAATTGTACTTTATCTTCTCGGTCTGCTCAGCATTTACAGTCAGAATCCAATTTTTAGTTGGAGGAAAAAAGTAATTATGGTTCCAGTAGTGTCTATAATCTGGTTCTGAATGATTCCTCCTAAAGAAGTGACAATAAGCAACATACAAAATCCACAAGTTATTACTAGTTAAATCCAATGTGGCTAGATCTTTGACTCTTGGCTACTGAGACTAATAATTGGATCCCTTTTATTCAGTCCTACCACCTACAAACCCTTACCTAATAAGCTTTGAAAAGGCAAGTAATTGAGCTCTGTGGGACTTCTTGCACAATTAATATTTTGCAGGTTCAGACTAAGAATATGGATCCATTCAGTCCTGTAGACAGGTACCTGATGTTTTTAACGCTGGTTCAGAACAAATGTCATCAATTTGTAATAAACATAGTGGAGATTTCCCCAAACCCCTTTGACTTAGTGATTGATCAGTCTAAGCCTTGACCCATGTGTTTATAGGGCTTGCTAATTATTCTTGCCTACTATGACAGTGAATGTTCTCGTTATGAATTGAAACGTCTAATCAGCTTCTAAATCTAAGGTTTCAGCCTCTGTAATATCTCATGGCAATCAGTTTTAGAGCACTTGCAATTTATACAAATATTTTATTTACCTTTTTGAAAATCCTGAGTAGAATAGCAATGCTTTTGAGCCCTTTGCCAGCAGTGCCACTAGTGGTATTGTTCCTCTGGTTTACAGAGTAACTGCCATCCTAAGGTATGCATGACGTACCTGTGTTTTAAGCCACATGTCATCTTCATGTTCATGCTGAATGTTTCTAAGTTACAGAATAGGGATAGCAGTAGTGGAGGGGTTTGGACAGGCAAGATGGTAAAAACTGACTGGATGAGGTAGAGGAAAGTTGGGGATGGGGAAGAATAAACTTAAAAAGATAGCACAGTGTAGGGCAAAGAAGAAAGAGGAGCACTCCGGAAGACAGTGTGGGACCTTGTTTGTGATAATTGTAAGATCAGGTCTGTAAGATGTATTCATTTTATCAGTACAGATTTTTTTTTTGTTAGAAGCTTATAGAACAGTCTGCGCTTGTACTAGTGGCTAAAGGAGTAACCTGACCTTTTCACTTTTTAGTAATAGTTCTCAGCCTTTTTCCTTTTCTGTCCTTCTTTCTTTTGTGCTATGTATATCGATTGTAGCCTTAGCAACAATTCTAACATCTAATTGTCAGTTTTTCTTGGATCCTTCATTAGTAGGTGTAAACTTTATTTTTGATACCGGCATCTTTGGGCCTAAGACACGTAACTAATTCAGCATGCTCAGGATTCACAACAATTTACTTGATAACTGCTCTTTACTGTTTCAAAAGTAAATGTTGTTGAAACAACAGGCCTCCCACTCTGAAGGGTATGTTCAAATATTACTATAATGTAAGCAATATTCATAAATTCATGTGTGTTAGGGTATTCCCCTGGTCAGTGTTTGCACCGTGGACAAAGACAGGAACAGAGTCTGAGACTTGACCTTTATTATCTGATATTAGTTTAATTTCCCTTAAAAATAATCCTTGCAGGTAGGAAAGCAAGAGGAGAGGGGTGGTGGGAGTGAGAGAAAGAAAGACAACAAGCTGGTTTTTTAGCAGTTACAGTTCTTTTGTGGCAATATTTTCATTGGAGAAGTAAGGTTGTGGGTATAGTTATTGTCTTGGAGAATCAAAGGCACACAGCAGGTGAGTGCTACAGCTGGATGCGTGCCTTAATACCTTCACTGAATCTTCTTAACTTGAAGTTAAAATTTAAGTTAAGAAAATGCCTTTAATCGCTCTCTTGCACATAGACGTCTCTTGCTAGTTGCACCTGCAGGACATTAAGGCTTATCCAAACCAGCCTATGGACCATCCCACATTCTGTGGAACTGTTAAAATTAGCACGTGCTGTTTAACATTTAATGCAAACTTTAAAGGTCTTTATGTTGCTATGTATTTTATGTTTTATTTAGGTCTTAATCTCCATAGTGCGAAATAGATTTTTTTTAATGCCGTAAGTTCCAATAAGAAGCAATATTAGTTAATACTTCTTGGTTGTCTTCAAATAGTTCAGAATAGTTAAATGTGGGCTTAGTCATATCTGTGATTTTGTCTTTGTCTTGGCAAACCAAGATCAAGCCTAAGGTTTGTTTATAACCATATCTTAAAACCTCTGCATATGATTGACATTCCCTTTTGCCACACTTTTATCCTTGGGTTCAGTTACCCCATTTTGGTTTCCCTTGTATAAACAGTTTATGGCGTCTGTTAGCTGATTGTGAACTAACCTTTGTTAGTTCAAGCAGTTCAGTTAGTTCAAACAGAAACAGTTACTGTTTCTGAATTTACTGTTTGCATCTAGAAGACTGAACTTTAAATCTCATTAATTTATACGTGTAGACCTCTGTCAGCTGTGGCAGTCTCTTCTCATTTCTCCTTTCTGTTGGGATGTGCTGAGCAGTCTCCAGTCTCCCTTGCTTTCTTGTACATGGAGAGTTTCTCTGCGTTTTATCCCATTGTGCAACCAGATGTGAAATCCTTTGCCTCCTCTTGTGTGTCAGCAGGTATGTAAAATTGAAGGTGGAGTGAAGGAAAGGGAAATAGAATGAGAACAGCCCCAAAGCAAAGCTGGAGGAAGACTAGAAGCATTAAAAAGCCAGTAGCATTGGCAGCTTTGACACGTATCGCAGAACTACTTTAACCAGAGGAACTGTTTGAAGATGATGATGAGACAGACTGCTTTATGAATTAGGATGGAGGATGCTGAGGTACTAAAGAGAGAGAGATAGCTGTAGTAACAAGGGAATGTAAATTGATAGTTTTGCAGTTGAGAGAGGTAAACTTCAAGTAGTGGAAAGAAGTACAGAATAAAGCAGAAATGTAGAAACAGGAATAATGCTAACATTAAAGGCTGATGAGAAAGCATTTTTGAAGGTTTAGGTAAGCTCAGTAGTTCTCCTTTTCTTAGCTCTTGTATGAACATGGAATCTTGCAGTGAAGTTCAGACTTTTTATGGAAATCGGTGAAATCATTGTGAAATCTTTCATATTTTTATAGGTGTGGTAAACAGTAGTAAAAATTGGAATTTAAACATTCAAACTTATTTCCATTTTAAAAGTCATAGCAGTGTATTTTAATCTTATTACTGAAAGGAATTCAGTCTATAACAGGTTCTGTATTAGCTCTGTCATACTTTATCTTTTATACATTCTAATAAAACATGTTTTCTCAACAGGGTCATGTTGGTACAACTGCAACCAAAAAAATTGATGTCTACCTCCCACTGCACACAAGCCAAGACAAACTACAGCCTATGACAGTTGTGACGATAGCAAATGCCAAGGTGCATGACCTGATTGGACTAATATGCTGGCAATATACAAGTGAGGGACGGGAACCAAAACTAAAGTAATGTGCTTTCTTTACTACCTCTTGATCTTTAATTTTCTCCTTTACAGCCCTTTTGCATAGTTAAATGGATTTCCATATCAATATTTTTATAGATAAATTTTACAGAAACCACCTACACTTTTATCAGTACTTCCTTTTGAGCGATACAAATGCATGTGTATCCATCTCTCTTTCAGTTCAACTACTAAGTACTGTATAACGCTAAGCATGTGAAACCGTGGACCTATAAATGAACGCTAATTTCAAAATACTCTGTGTACAAATAATACAAATCTTATCTCTTTTGGTGTCATGGAGACATCTTTTATTTTATGTCCCATCTATTTTTTTTTTTTATAGTGTCCCTAATGACTAAGATCACCAGTATGTCAAATAAAATTTAGAATTCATCTGTAACTCCCTTCTTTTGTTTGTTTTCGGAAAAGGTACCGAGATTTTCACTCCCTTTTGTCTGCACCGTACCAGGTTCTTCCTACAGATTCGCAAAAAGAGGAATCACTGTACTGGCTGACAGAGTGTTGGAAGCGTTATTAGTGTTCTGATGAAAGCATATATTACATTTTAACTATAATGCTTAAAATAAGTCAGTCAGAATTCTATCATAGAACATTAGCATTATTTTGCACTTACTTCCAGTTATCGTTTTGCTGACATAGTGACCTTGATGAATATACGCACATTAAAATATTTCTATTTTTCTAAGAATTGACAGGTATAGGGGCTAAAGGTATATTGTGCTTTTCTTTCCAGGTAATCATCCTGGAGAAACTATTATAATAAAAATATGCAAGTGAGGATCTTGCAGACAAACTAAATACCATTTTTGTTTGAAAGTATAAAAAAGTTGTATTCTTTAATTCAAAAAATTATTAGTTATGCAGTATTTTAGAATTGCTACAAGACTTTGACCTCAATCACCTTGGCTTTTTGCAATTAAAAAAAACAAAATCTGTATTGCACTTCAGAAATTCTTAGTTTCGGTATATCAATGGATTTTTCAGTATGTTTGGTAACCATTGCTTACCTCTTAATTGTGAAAAAAGTTTGCCCCTAAAATTTATGTGACTAAGTAATGGATTTGGTCTGCCATGCTAGTGAGCTAGCCTTGTTTACTAAAAGGCCATTACTTTATCATGGTAGGTCACATAGGTTATATAAAAAGGTACTTCAGACCCAGTCATCTGAATGACTTTGCTTTTAGGAGTTATATAAAATCCAAAGAAATACTTCCATTTTTTGCTGGATCATAGAACATGAAATAAGATATTAATATAATTTATTACAGAGGTATTAATAATGGTTATTAGCTGATGACTTTTCTGGTGCAAAGAAAGGTTAATGGTTTTGGTTGATGTTTTTATATGAGCCAGTCAATTTTTCATGTTTCAGATTTTCTTTGTTCCTGGAATATTTGTTGAATATTTTTTCTTTGGTGCTGTATTTTATAGTTGTTGCTCTTCCAGCATTTCTCAAAAGTGTTTGAGCACTCCATAATCTTCTCTCCTGCGATAGCACGGTTGTAAGGGGAAGACGTCTCTGAAGGGGAAAGGGAAGGTGTTGAGAGTTAACTTCAACTCCCTTTCTATAGGACCCTGAGGACTAACCGGTTGGTTTCTGTTTAGTAGACATAGGGCAGCACAGACAAGCAGCCCCTCTTGAAGATGGAGCTTCAGGGATATTGGTGCATTGGCTCTCGGATTTCCCTTAGATCTGAAGGAGAACGTTTATTTAACACTTTTTATACGGGAGAAGAAATGTAGGATTCTTTGCAGACAGTGCCATTTCATTTCCTGTTATTAACTTCTGTTCTTTAAAACATGCAAAAAAGTATCCTTTGTGTATTGTTAGCTTATTTTTTAACAAGAAAGACACCACTAATGTCAATATTTGGACACGTGTATATATTTCAGGAGCACAGCACACCTCAAATGGACCAATGCCGATGAGTAGAAGTATTCCATGAAACATCATGGCCCATGGCAAAAGTCAGCAGTGGGAGGAAATGAATTTCACTGTCTGCCTTGAAGGATAAGATACTATGATGTGTCAAAGAGTGATCATGACCAAGGAAACTGTTCAATGTAATCAAATCTCAGGACACAAATAGTAAAATAAATAATGGAAGCTTGAGGAAAAATAGCTTTCGTAGGTTACACATTATACGTTTTAGTTTTGACCCTGACTTATTAATATTTTAATTTTATTTTTGCCACTGGTAACTTAATATTAACACAAATGTATGCTTTGATGATATTCTGATTTAGTTCATCAAAATAAATAAGTCTCCAAAGTTGTGACATATTTGTGTTAACGTTCAGGAACCTACTCCATGTTTGAAGATGTTTGCAACCCCTTTAATTTATGAGATGTAACAGACCTTGTGTGTTTGCAGTATGACTGGTGGAATATAAAACGGTATCACCACTGTCATGTTTGGTGTTTGAATTGCTTTGAGAGCGTACTGAACGTGTTTTGTTGCCTGCATGTCTATATGTCCCTTTAGCTTTAAGGAGTATTATGCAAGTGCATCAAATACCAACTGAAAATGGTAACTTTATTTACACAGAACTTTAAGTGCACATCAGACTGCACATAGAAAAACTCTGTCAAACACAAAGGGCCCTGTACTGGAAAATTAGCAGGAGGCACAGAACATGGCTATGTGAAGACAGGCATTGGGTGAATACTCAGACTGGAATGCCTCATAAAATGGGGTGATTTTTAAGTTATTTTGAAGTGGACATAATGAAGGTGCAAAGCTTTCTTACTGTCAGTTGGTAGAAGTCCAAATAGAATCAAAGAGTAATACACTTGGGAAGGACTGAAAAATCATGCCAGGCTGTATCTATTCACAACCTGTTTGTCTAGCCTATTCTGAAAAAGACTTGCAACAGTGAAAACCACAAAACTTCCCTGAGTACACTTTCTTTGTTTGGGTCAAAGCCCTTGCAGTTTATAAATTCTGTTGGTAGTGCTGCCTGTGACCAGCTTTCCTAAAGGTTACTTAAGTGCCCTTAAATAGGTTAAAAATCAGTTCTACAGTGATGTTCCAGTTCTTCACTACAGTCCAGAGACTCATAAAAGTTTCTTTAAAAGTATTGCAGAATTTCCAAAATTTATAGTGACAAACATTGCTGGATTACTTTTTTGTTAGCTGTCCATTTAGCAAATTTACAGTTAACATTAATATTAATGCATCATTATTACCTGTTTTATATAATAAATATCCTAAGTCATGACAGCATGCATATAGATCACCTGGACTGGCACTCTTAATAAAGCACAGTTGCAACCAAAGGTTTGTGAATTAATTGAGAAAATTGCAAATCAGGTAGTCAGTGAAATAATTCATTGTCACATCCAATCAATAAACTTTGTAAATCAACTCATTTAATTCAAAAAATGATCTATATAGATCAAGCGACCAATTAAACAATTAGCATACACTTTGCAATTAATTAATTTAAGCATCAATCATGCAATTAAAACTCCAAATTTGAACTGCAGAGTTTAGAAACATACTGCCATGTGAACGTTCAAGCGATGGCTTCGTGGCTCTGGAAAATGTGTGAATGCTGGCAGATTTACAATAAGAAAGGATACTTATTTGTAGCTGAATAATTTAAATATTAACATTTGATATAGATTTTTAATATTAGGAAAGCATGATTAATATTCTGTTTTGTATGTATGCATAGAGTTATTTCCCTATGGGTTTTAGTATGTGGAAAGAGGCTTAGGTTTTGTTTTGTATCTTCTCCACACAGCCTCTGTTTAAAACCTCCTATATTATTTAGTTCTACTTGTTAGTATACGCTAATTTTTAACAATTTGCTGTATTGAGCACTGTTGGTTTTTTACTTTCCTTGTAGCTTATCCCTTAGTTTTTATTATGCTATTTACATATCTGAGACCATCCTCTAAAAGTATATGTTCAGTAAACTTTTTCACTGTTGCTTAATGTATAAGAGGAATATATAGACCCTGCTTGTTTGTTTTTAGTTCTAAAGTTTAACAGTCATGTAAATAAATACATTTCCACAATTGAGGAAATATTACTACCTCTTTGTGAAGTCATGAAACTTTTGTAGACTTTGAAGTATTTTAATCTGTGTTGGGACTTGAATCTTTATATAAATATGTTCCATCAGTGGCTTTTAAGTATATTATTTCTGTAACGAGTGTGTCTGCTTTCTTATTTTCTACAACATTTAGCAGTTGATGTTGATCTGCAGAACTGAGTTTGTTTAGTTCTTCTGCTGAATAAATTTGCTTTTCGTTTCTTACAGTGACAACGTCAATGCCTACTGTCTCCATATTGCTGAGGATGATGGTGAGGTTGACACAGATTTTCCACCCTTGGATTCCAATGAACCCATTCACAAGTTTGGCTTCAGCACTCTGGCATTGGTTGAAAAGTACTCGTCTCCCGGCCTGGCAGCAAAACAGTCGCTCTTTGTTCGAATGTGAGTATGGATGATAACTTTGTAAATTATCTTAACATTTGTGCATCCATGCCACCTCCACATCTTTTTTTTTTTTTTTCCTCTACTTTTCTTCACTTGAATTTTGCAAAATTCAGGGAGCACACGTATTTAAGATTCTTTGCAGATGATGCTACACTATGGAATCTTTCATGAGGCAGGTAAGAAAATAAATGCTGCTGGAAGAAGTACCTCAGCTGCTTCCAGTTCTGAATAATCAGACCAAAAAAAAGATTTCTGACCTACTTAATTCATTTTCATATTCATTTTTGTGGACTTAGAAACAGGTCTAACGTGTCGTACTGGAAGAGATTATCAGAAATCCCACGTGTATTTCCCAAAGGCTCATTCATTCTTTTCCATTGCATTAGGTCATTGGAAAATAAAGTATTCTTTCAACAGTATTTAAAAAGAAGTTATTCAAGGTAACCTTATTCAGCTTTGCTGAACTGGATGCTGTCATGTGGAAGATTATACAAAGAGGGATGAAGTCTTTCAAGTTATATTACAAGGTCTGTTTTTGTGTTGTGCAGGTTACAATCACACAGTTGAGCCAGGCAGCTGACTGCTTTTCCTCCTATGGGATTGCAGAGTATTTAATTTCCACTATCTGACTGAGGAACGCTGCATGTTTTATCTGAAAGGTGGAATATCTCTCTCACGTGCATGCACTTCTCTAGAGTCAGTGTTCTTGCCATGAATTTGATTTTTAATTGATTTTTCTGACAAATCATCTTTTAAATAATGTCTTGATTTTTCTTTTTTCTGTAAAGTACTGTAACAAAATGTGAGTGAGTGCTTGTATATTTTAACAAGTTTTTTTCAGCTCCCTTTTTAACTCTTTCATGGCCTTTTACAATATCCCAGGAGACATGAAAGACAGACTTTGAGTCACATTTTTCAGACTTTCACTGTGTTCATCCATTGAAAAAAGAGGGAGCAAAGGAGTCAAATTTGACAGATTTCTTTTAATACAAATAGGATCGCTTATATTAGTAGTAGATAGAGGCAGATTATTTTTTGCTTTAAAATAATTTGTGGTCACGTGAGTTGAGTGTTTCATATCCTAACTGAGCAGGCCCTGCTGAGTAGAAATAGGTCAACTGCATCATAAGTAGTGCTTTTCTGAGAGAGTTTGTTTTTTGTATCCTCATGTTAGCATGAAATTGTTTTTACTTCCTATGTAAATAGTTATTAATAAATATTTACTTTTAAATTGAATTTTTAGTGTGGTTCCTAGAATAGAAAATTATTTGACCATCACTTCAGCAAAAGATGGTTGCTACTGTGAGTTTAAATGTATATGCTGTCTCATTTTTATAGGAATTTGTTTTAAATTCTGCATCTTCCTTTTCTGTCATCCTACTAGCGCATGTAATTGTGTTTTTATATCTTGCATCTCTTTTTCTCTCTTCATGCTAAAGTATTTCAGCTGCTGTTTTGTCAGACTTGTGACTTGTAATGTTTGTTAATATTGTAGCATAGCTGAAAGAAGTTGATGCTTCTGAGAAGCTTCATGATGAAGCATGGTATTTTATTTCAGATCTCACCCGTCCTATATATTGGATGTATTCTCAGACGTTGTGCAGTTCACTGAGCTGACAGTTATGGAACCTCGCCGAGGACCCTGTCTCAGCAGGACATGTTTGAGCAAAAACAGTTTGCAGAACTTTATACACTTAAACTCCTGCCAAGGCAAACTCTTACCCACTTGAGCTAGTTATAAATACCCAGTGGCAGTGGTTGGAAGTAGCCTACAGTGCATTTTATATTCTGAGCTGAATGTAAGTGTCTTTGTGGTTATATAGAGTAGTAAATAATTGAGTTTGATTAGGGAGAGGGACCTCATTATCCCCCCACCTGTGCCCAGCTGGTAGGGGAGGGTCGAAATGAAGCCATTAGCTGTCTCTCTTACTGGCATCTCAAAGAGCTCAAATACATCTGTGTCTTATTTTCTTCTCTGGCACAATCAGTCGAGCAAGCTAAGCAGGCATGACCGAATTTGGCAAGTTCCAAGGACTCTGGCAAAGTTACACAAGGAGAAGACGGAGGGCAGTCATTCTGGCTTCTAACTGCCCATTAGTCTAGCGAGTTATGTTTTTGGAAAATGTCTGCTGTGGAAAGGAGTACTTTGTCCAATGTCAAACACTGCATTCTCAAACGATCCTCTTTGATGTCGAATATGATTTGTCAGAAGGAGTCAAACAAAGCACTGCATTCATGTAAATGCAGACTTTGTGGGATGGTGAAGTAATACCTGAAAGACTTGAACGAAGGTTGCTTAAAATAAATCTGTACTATCATTTGGTTTTGTTTTTTTTTTTTCTTGGAAATTTTATTATCACAACTTGACGTGCTCTATCAAATAGTGTTTCTAGGAGTTGTAACTCAGCTGCCAGTTGGCATATAGATGAAGTTTGGCAATGCAGTTCCTCTGCTCAGTAACACCTTATTGTGTTTTAATATTATGTTTAAATTGCTTTGACTGTTATGTATGTGTTTTTTCAAAGTAGCACCACCATTATACCTGACAGATTCAGGTTTGAAACATTTTAAAAATATCAAGCTTTCATAGTACATTTACAAATTCAGAGCTTTGAAATGTGTATTTAGTCAGGCTAAAGAAGCACTCCCCAGCAGGGCAGTAGGGCTGTTACCAGTTTTTAGGTAGGTGTAGGTAATCTACAAAATATATTTTAGAATGTTCATAGAATGCAAATTTAAGAAAACTAGTGTAGATGCCTAAATTGGGAAAGAAAAGAAGTCAGAGCAGAAATTGTCAATTCTGATGTTAGGTTATGGTAGTGTTGAAATACAGGCAATTAAGCCAAAGAGCACAACAAGTTATCTAAGGCTTGCTTTAGATCCACAAAAGCAATATCATTAGACTCAGAATTAAGAATGTGGCTGGTATAGTCATTCAGATTCATATCGTTATGCAGTCTATCTAAAACAAATAAATAAATAAATCACCCAGCTTAAGTTAAATACATTGTGTCAACTGGGATTTTTAGTCTTAACTTTGTACTGATCAAGTGGAAAGAGTTATTAGTCATTCTCAGGCACTTTCAACCATGCCAGCCATTTTCTGCAGAGAGCTTTAAGTGCTATAAATTCCACTTCATTTAAAAAAAAAAAAAATTGTTCCAGGTTGGAGAGACAGCTTTTGGAAAAGTTTTTCTCATTCAGAGCAGAATCCTTTTGTCTTGCAAGTGTTGAGTTTTTTACATAAACTGAGCCTGTGGAGAAGATGCTGCAGAAATTCCCGGCCGCCTCTGACTGCCTTTCTCCCCAAAACCGCATCCCAGGCTGCAGAGCTCTGCAGCTCTTGCCTTTTCTGTTTGTTTTTTTTTTCCTGCTCTGAACCTTGCCACCCTGGCTCCAGCACTAAGGCTGTAAAAGAAGATGGAAAGCCAAGTTACCTCAGAATGATCACTATCATTAACATTCACGGGTGGTTCACTTATCATTCCTGACTGCACAGACATGGCAGCCGTTATGAAACGTCCACAGGTGTAGCACGATGATACATATTACATTGTGCCACAATGGATTTATGTATTCTGTAACAAAAGAAAAGTGTAATGAAAAAATACAGAAGGTAATCCTTTATTCCTCCACTGCACAATTTATCAGTAATGCCTGTGGATGATAAGTGCCCGGGATTTCCTTTGCTTGATTTAACCTTGTCACCCAGGTATGTTTTTGTAAAATGACAGAAAATACAAGCTAAGGAATTTCTTTGGCTTCTGATTTGTAAGCAGCAGTTCTAATTGGTAAAATAGCATACATTTGTCCTGTTTCTAGTATGTTGACTTAAAATAAAAGTATCATGTATTAACAGAGTATGCTAAACCATATGCAATTTATAATCATAGTTAAGGATATACGGGAATAAGATTCAGCAAGGAAAGTTCATGCACACTATCAATACAGAGCATAGCTGAGAAGCTGGCAAGGTAAGCTGGGATATGTGTTTCGTCCAGAAAAGCCTCACGGTGCTATTTTCCTAAAAAGAAGGATAGCCGTGGATGGATGGCGTTTCAGACAAGCCCGTGCTGAAGGGGAGCTCCAAGGCGCTTCCCGTGCTCGCTAGTGCTCCGGCGCGCCAGGGGAGAGTGCTCTGCTTCTCTCTTTCTCTGCGACGCAGGAAATGTGGCCTGATGCTCTGGCCTGATCCCAAGATGACGGAAGAATCTTTTTAGTCTGGGCTTTGGTCCACTTTTAGCTCAGATTTGTGGGTTTGCTGAGTGCTAAAATGTCGTTACTGAGGTTCTGTGGTATATTGTTAGAGAAAGACAATGTTGTGTGCTTATGAAGCTGAGGCAGAGCAAGGGAAGAATAGTGCAGCTGAACTCCGACTGGCATTTCAAACGCTTTTGGCTTTGTTCCAGAGCAAATATCCAAAAGTTTACAAATGTGGGGTGCGCTTTACATTTCATTGCTCTTGCCAAAGTCTCACTTACTGGCTAGCACACTAAATATAGTAAAACACAGAGGTTTTTCTTATTTTGCTTTGATCAGTAAAATAAACTTTTAAAGATTGTTCTGGGATGGGATCCAGCTTCTGAGGCAAAGAATGGCTGTGGTTCAGCCATGATTTAGTAATAGAGTGTCAGTAAAATTAGTTTGACAGTTCTCAGGCCAGCTGCTCAATAGAAAGAATTGACCAAGTTAGAATGGACTGAAACACTAGTAGGATCAACAACAGCATGTGCTTTTTAACAGCTGAAGTGTCAAGAATTGAAAGGCAGTTTTCCATTTTTGGGAGGTTACAGAGATGTCTCAGAATTAGCAAACCCAAATTAGGGCATCAGCGTTGAGTCGCCGTTGGTTGTTTCGCCCTTGGCAGGAAGAGTGACTCGTCCATAGCAGAAGTTGCAGGCCCTACGGTGTGTGGAAACCCATTTGGAAGAAATTTTATATTTGAGGGAAAAAAAAAAATCGTGACTCTAGTCTGTTTGGACATAGATTTTTTGAAGCTTTTGTCTCCTTTCTTGGTTTTCCTTCAGTATTTTAAATTATTTTCCTATATTTTGGTTGCGATTTTCTTTGAAATGTCTTTCTGTATTGCAGAATATTATATAAATTACTTGAAGGTAAAGTTTTCACTTCTCTGTGTTCCGTGTTGTTTCAGTGCTTTGAAGCATTGCTCTTTTCCATAGTGATTCATTGACAAACATCATAAGTAACTACAAGGGAAAAAGTACTTTCCTTTTTATAACTATAGAAGAATGTAATGTTTGCTTTTTTAAAAAATACACAAAAATTTAGCTGAGCAGGTCAGTCAGGACTAAAACTATAATGAATTTGGGAGGCTAGGTAAATGACACAAAGTGAGGTGAATCAGACAGAATAAAATGGCATGCAGTGCTTGTGCACAGTGCCGGGCTCTGTAACAGTTTAAGGAAGAGACTTCAAGGGACTTCAGGAAAGTCTCTGCTTATTGTACGGCATTGGTCAAAGTCCCCAAAAAGGATAGAAATCTTGCGGTTACAAAAATTGATACTCCCTCCTGTGGAGCAGTGTACTCAGGTCTCATCATCCCTATTTAAAAACATATGGCAAAAATAGAGAGGAGGGAAAAAAGTAGATACATGAAAAGGTTGAGAATATTTGGTTTAGAGATGAGTAAGACAGAGTTAATAAAAGATCTAGAGAACTTAAATTTGGAGCTTTTGGGCAGTTTCGTTTTGCCAGAAACAAACAAAGGGAAGTGAGAACGAAAACCAGTGAGACTAACTCACAATTCAGTAGCAGGAATTGTGGTTTTATACCATGTAACTTGTGGAACTCTCTGTTGGGGGTGAAGAGCCGGGGATATTCTGAAAACAGATCTTTTATGTTACTTATAGTATTGTTATGGCAGCTATTTCTAGTTTTATGTAATGCACAAATGATACAGCCATGTGCAGAAGGAACGAGGTTTGGTCTGGGAAGAAGCCTCCCCTCGCTTAGCTTATTCCATAATTACCTGCTGCAGATTTCTTGACCCTTTCGCTTCAGACCGTTCTACCCGCTGTGGGAGGTATGACGTTGAGCTGAACAACGTGTGGTAAGGAAGGGAGCTCCGTGCTTTCCGAGTTAGGCAGAAGAGGACGACATGTGTTTGCTGTTTGGATGTCTGTAAGAAAAGCGCGCGGGACCTCTAGAGCCGCCGCGGCAGGCTGGTGCCCGGCGTGCGCGCAGGCACACGGTTTGCTGGGTGCTGCTTGCAATGCAGCTAATGGCCAGGATTAGGTATTAACGTGTGGGAGGGCTTAAGAAGTCATTTATTCGTCTATGCTGTTTCACAGCATGGGCAAGGGATGCCGCATCCGAACTGATCTGAACGCAAACTCTTCCCAGGGTTTGTCTCTTACACTGACGTTTAATATGATTCTGTTTTTAATAATGTAATTGTGTTGCTTGGATTTCTTTTGAGTGTGATTGCTTTTAAAATATTCCAGCTGTGAGATTCATACAGAACTGTACTCCCTGATTAAAATTCTCAGTTGCCAGATAAAAGCTCCTCCTCCTGTCTAAATAGCTTTGTGAAACGGTTCTTTCCGTGCGGTGCAAAGCTTTCCCTGTGGGTGCCTCGCAGCTCTAAAATTTCCGTGGTAACTGTCTACAGTGACATCTACTGACATGAGCAGAGATTGACTGCAAGGTGTAAGGGGCAAAATTTACTGATATATTAATTCAGTATCTCTTTTATTATATTGTCACCTTCCCTGCTTCCCCAGTGATGCCATTTCCAATATCTGGCTGTCCACATCTTCCATAACCGTCCTCCTGCTGTTTTCAGTGCTTGCTCCAAACATGGAATTCTTCCGTAGCAGCAGCCAGGACAGCTCCCCAGCTGTCGTAAAAATTCCTTTAAGATCCTGTGCTATGATGTTCGCAAAAACATGTCCAAAAAAGCATGGTATTTATATTTAAAATAATGCTGTACCTTAATATTGCTGAAAAGCTGTTGTTGCTCTGACCGTTGTTCTTCCGTTTCTCCTTAATGATTTCTTAGATGTGACATCGCGACATGTATGAAAATGACATTGCAAACTGTTTCTATTTGTTTGTGCTTTGAAACACCTAGCAATACTTAATAATGAGTATTTGAGGAGCTCTGCATATACATGTACTCATTTTTCCTCTTAATGACAAACAAATTGATCAAAAATTAAGATGAGTTAGGAATAACTTTGCACACCTTGAATCTCAATCCATTTTCTTTTTTTTTATGCCTTTCCAAGAGTTTTTTCAGTTTCTCCTCTTCACTCGCTTTTACAACATAACTTTGTTCATTGCTGTGCCTTAAAAGTCCTTTGCTTGTAACTCTAACAAGAATAGTAATAAGCTGCCTGATGATGGCTGTTTCGTAACATACACGTGTATCTGTCTTGCAGAAATGCTGCTCATGGATTCTCACTTATTCAGGTGGACAGTATGAAGGTCACCATGAAGGATATCTTGCAAAAGGCCTTAAAGAGAAGGAAAGGATCACAAAGAGGCTCAGGTGGGTTATTTATTGTATTTTGTAGAAAACGGAGTGTTTTTCCCTGAACATATTTTACATCTCTTTTTAACTGTCAGGAAGGATGCTCTTCTTTTTTTTTTTTTTTTTTTCAGTTGGTATTGTGATTTTCAACACTACTCAGAAGCAGTTCTTGGCACAGGTTATGTTCTAGATACTAGCAAAAACAGGCAGTGAAGAAACTGCGTAATATTTCCTGGAAAGCAATACCTTCATTAATGCAAATATTTATTTATGATGGTAAATCCATGAACATTCAAGTCCAGCTAGTGGTAGTTTGAGATGAAGGGTTGAAACACAGAAAGACCAGTCCTTGATACAATTTGTATGCTTTTAATTTTTGTAAGATAATGGTGCTTAATGTGATTTTAAATAATTTAAAGGATTCATTCTTACTTGTAGAGAAAAAGAAAACATTTACTTCCTGCAATATTGTTAAAATACCGCTATTACAGTAAAGACCTATCAACATTTGAAAAAAAAAGTGCAGTATTTTCGTTATAGATTAGAGTGATGCTTTTCCAGGTTATAAATGTACGTTCACATACATACTGTATATATTTTTAAAAGTACAAGGCTGAGATATCTTTTCAGCAACAAGAAATAATTATTGTGAGAAATTGCACTGAGTCTTGTCAGGCAACAAAAGAACTTTAATATAAACCTATCTATATACTAGGTAAAGATAAGCATCTTGTCTTTGTAAATGAATGAAACCTCCTTATATTCCCTTACTTTTAACTATGTGAAAAGAAAATAAACCCTGTTCTGTTTAGAAAAAGTAGTTCAATGCAGTTTTTAAACGAGTGTATAATCTGTCATGGATTTAATTAGCTATCTTCAGATGAAAGCTGAAGTTTTAATAAAAGTTAGAAGAGATAACACAGTGAAGGACACGGATGAGCTGTCTCAAGGCCATATTCCAAGGGAACGATAAGAGCTGTAAAAAATGGCAGAGGAGAGCAATTGAATGAAGCAATGAAAATCTGATTCTCGTAAAAAAAAAAAAAAAAAAAAAAAAAAGAGAGAGAGAGAGAGAGGCTGGTAGGGGTGGTTGTAGATGAGACCCGCTAGCGTCTGCAAGCAATTTGGCTGCTTGCCAGGAGTCATTGTTCACCCTCGGCTGTGGCGGCTCGGTCCAGATGTGCCAACTGCACGTTGCGGCTTTTGCCAGCTGACTGCGCCGTTTGATAACCAGCTCTCTGGATGCCCATCACTGGCCGCAGAGATAGAATTAAATGATGATGATCTTCCCACAAGTTGGGAGAGGAAACAATGCATATAAATCTTGATTTCATCTCAGCGTGAGAAGTCTTTATCCATCATCACTCATAATGAACAAGTCGTTAGCTGCGATGAATGGTGTTCTGTTTTTTTCAAACACCTCTTTTGTTCACTTTTTGGGTGACTTTTATTTATTTCCTGGGGTCAGATTTCTCCTCCGAGGAGGGAGATGGCTAAAGGATTCACTTAGCTCAATCTTTAAACTACTTTCCTCCTTTATGTAACAAATATTACTCTTTGTCCATTTGAAATTTGTTTTTGCTCTAATTTTGTTACTTTTATTCAGTAGTTTAGAAAAGGAATGGAACTGTCACTTATTCCTTCAGCTAATACATTAATATCTGCTCTCTTGGCACTCTTGCTCAGAAACCTCTATAATAATAGTTTTTCACTAGGTATATAAGCATATACGTATTTTTCTGAATTTTTAGATCGTATAAGAAATCATTTAACTTTATTTTACATAAATTATCCATGTGCCATCTCTCCTCTTTGAAATGTAATCATTGTCCTTGTTGTGGATACAAATCACAGTATAAGTTACAACTAAAATCTAATTTTTCATTACTTATATGTGTATTTATTTTTGAACATATAAACAGATTTGTAGAACTAAACGGCATTGCTTGCAAGTTTCTGTTTAAGCTTGTGTATAGATATGTCCAGAATTGGAACCTGCAGCTGTAAGTTGCATGTATTGGGAGTCATTGCTAGAAGAGTGATCGCTCTAGGGAAAGCCTTTTGCTTTTTTTCCCCATGTTCCTGAATTTCATAAAATAAATATATTTTTTTTCATTTTTAAAACGTTAGTGAGCGCTCATAGTGCATTGTTGAAATCATATAAATACTGTCACATGGATGAAGGGATGTCTGAGATTAGGTATTTATATACTAGTATGGTAAATCATAAATTAAACTTTGTTCTTCCAATTATTATTTTACTTCCCCTATCCAAAACAGTGACTCATCAGTTAGTAGACTTTTTTTTGGTCTTGCCTTTCATCTTTAAAATGGCACTGTATGTGAAAATAGCTGCACTTTTTGCAAGAGGGATCCACTTGTTTGCACTGCCCTCTGGATCTGAAACAAGCCATTTACATTCCCCCGATACCACTGTTAGCAGAATAGGATGAAAATGCTGCCTAAGATTAAAGGACAGTTAAAACTCAGAATGCTACTCGCTGGGCATGGATTGACTGGAGCTGGAGGTGAAAAAGCTCTTGTCTTAATTCTTCATCTAACACCAGATTTTTCATTTTGGAGTGAATATGCCTCTTACTTTCATTGGGAGATGCTCAGATAAATGGAATTTGAGATCAGACTATTAACACAGTGCGGTTCTGTGCCTTTGTAGTTAAGTCATTATCAAGCAGTGGATTAAGATGTCAAAGTTCTGAATAAAAGAGGATATAATTTAGGAAAAGCATTTCTTCTCATTCAGCAACGCTTCCTTTTAAGTTAATTGCTCTAATATGAGGGGAAAAAAAGAGGCTAACCAAAAATAGACTTAACATGTTTACTTAAAAGTATCTGTAGTAGTTTAATAAAACTGGAATGCCTGTGAACTTTTCTGCGTGTTTTCTATGTACCTGCAGACCAGTCTTCACACGACAAATGAATATATTATGATTACAGCCTATGCCATTTTCAAGTGCTCATGTAAGAAAATGCTTTCTGAGCTGTTTTCACTACTGGCTTACGTTATGTTTTTCAAATCGGGCCTGTGTTATGCTAACCTTGGTTGGTTGTTTTGGATGAGAAAGAAATGGAAGAATTGCTGTTGTATAGTCTGGAAGTGGACATCCCAGTATGGCAAGAGCTAAGATTCTAGACTGGTTTTCTCTAATTATTTTATCTAGCTAGTACTCCTCAGCTTACAAGTAGGTTTTTCAGCAAGTTATTGGGTCTAAAGTTCATGAAAATCCATATGCCTAGGTTACCTCAGTGATTCAATGACCTTCTCAGTTTCTCTGTTTTTGACTTTTATTTAAAAATGCCATTACCATCCTCGTAGCGAACAACTTTTGCCTACCTTCTGAAGCATGAGACTGGTAATCACAGAGTTTTTTGTGACAAATGGTAGCACAGAGTTCAGTTTTCTAAGAGTTCTGTTTTAAAATATGCATTGATGTTAATGTACAAATAGATGCGGGAGAACAATATCTGTAAAAAATATTACGAATGTGTTTGTTTCAAAATCCCATTTTTGAAAAAACTGAAGCTGAGTATGGCTTTGGACTGCAAAGTAAGTTCAAGCCAAAGATAATTTGTTGCGTGAAGATGTAGGTCAATAAGTTGAAAAAAAGGTCATAAACCACTTCTGTCTCATAACAAGTAGCATGAAAGAAATGGGAAAAACATTTTAATTATATCTTGCTCTACTTAGGTATTATGTAAGATAAAATTACTGCAAACTATACAAATTATTTTGCATTCTTTGCAGTTATCCTTTCTTAGTGTCACACAACTTTTGCCTTGAAGGTATGAACATTTTTTAGTATTGAAAGATATTGATCATTTTTAAATAATAATCTTCGAGTAGATCAATGAGAAATACAGGTGGTAAAATCTGCATATGTTGTGATTGACAGAACCACACTCCTTAAATCTTTTCCTAAAGGTTGCACTGAAGCAATGTTTTGGAACTGTTCATGAACAGTTCCACAATGGACAGCAGTAGGGGGTTAATAATAATAACAATAACGATACCGTATCATTTCTTGCCACGTGCCCAAATAAACTGCAAGAAGTGTATGCGAATGGTTCCAAGTTAGGGGAAGAGCCTGTAACAAAAGTCAGTGCTACATACTGGAGAAGATAAATCTGCAGAGGAAATTGTTGAGGCAGATGTTTAATTAGTTAGAGGCAGGCTGGATAAATCAGGATAGGAGCTGTCTATGCAGATATGCTGGTTTGCCTTGCTTTTCTCAAAGCTGGTTTCATTGTCTTTAAAACTAACTGTCCTTTTAGCTTAGGAAAGAAGCAGCAAAAGCAGTCTTACAACCTCTCTGCTATTGGAATGGATTTCCTTGTGTACACTCATAAAATAGAAAATGTAATTGATGTTTTCTTGTGGTAATGAAAAATAACTAAGTAGAATACTTTATTTATTTTACCTATTGCATGCTCAGCAGCATGTATTGCAAGTGCATGTTTTACATGAGAGCTGGAAATAAAACACTCTTGGTTGTGGAATGAGCTCCTAGTGGAGGTTGATCTAATCCAGAGATGAACCACCTTGATGGGGGCCTAGTGAAATCTTTCATTGAAGAGAATTTTCTCAAAAAAAAAAAAAAAGAAAAGAAAAGAAAGAAAGATTGGACCGTATCCTAACCAAGGCATTCCACAGCAGTGAAGACAAAAGAGCTGAAGGCTCCATTAAGTTCAGTGGGGACCTTGTTACGCATATCAGATTTACCTGGGCAGTACTTCGATATTATGATAATGGCAGTGGAGAGAACCCTAATATATGTAGGTAATGTAAGGATTGCTATGTATAAACTTGACATATGTAGAGTTGTTCAAAAATGTTTTTGGAAATTGTGGGCACTCCAGCAGCTGATGGTTTAAACATGAAGCTGGTCTGAAATGTGGCAGATCTACTGAAAGGGAGCCACATGCTCGAAATTATGAGAATAAGAACTTTTTATTCTTCCTGAACTTGTCAGTGGAAACGTCAGATATGGAGCTGTCTGTGT